GGGTAACTACTCAACCACTGAGCCACACCGGCCAGGCCCAGGCATTCTTATTTGAAAGCCTGCTCTTCCCCTCTGTGTTTCTGTCTACTTGTTTTATAAATTCAGACTATTCATCTAGTGAGCAGAGGTAACATCTAATTATAGTTTCCACCAAAACATTAACACGTTAGTAATGCTTAGCAAGTAAGAAAAATAATAATGCCTGACATTTCCCTTTTTTTTTTTTTCATCTCAGTACTTTATATGCAAAAAGAGATTTTTAAAGTATAGCATGAAAGGGTTTGGTCCATTAGATATATATTATGTTTTTCTGTCCTATACAAAGGTTCAGCCTTTTAAATGGGGCATGCAGCTATTAGCCATTAACCCATCTGCTATGTTTTTCTCTCCTGCTCTGGAGGACTGACACACTAGTCTCATGGCACAGGTCACATCAAAAGCTGTTCTTTTCACAATACACCTAGACCACAAACAATGGACTATCATTCAGAAATGCTTAATTATACTCCGTGCATTCGTGGGGGTCCCTCAGCCTAGCCTGCACCCTCTCGCAGTCAGGAGCCCTCACAGTCTGAGAACCCTCCAGGGAATGTCCGTTGGACATCCTTAGCACTGCCATGGAGGCAGGAGAGGCTCCTACCACCACTGCTGTGCTCGCCAGCCATGAGCCCAGCTTCTGGGCTTCTGGCTGAGTGGCGCTCCCCCTGTGGGAGAGCACTGACCACCAGGGGCTCTTCCTGCACTGAGCATCTGCCCCCTGGTGGTCAGGTCAGGGCATGTCATAGCAACTGGTAGTTCCACCATTCAGTCAATTTGCATATTATCCTTTTATTATATAGGATGCTCCCAAATGCCTAAGAAACTCACAAGAATCCAAACACCCCTTCTCTTTATGCTCTGACCCCACCCTACGTATACATTCTCCAACTCCCTCCCTTCCCTACACAAATCCTCCAGTCCAGACAACCAAGCCTCCTCAGTGTTTCTTGGAGATACCAACACCTCTCATTCCAGCAACCCCTATACTTAACCCATCCATTGAGGCCTAGAAAATTCATGACATTCCCACAAATCTTTCTTGACCATAATAGCTCTTGGTAATCACTCACTTTTTTGAATTTGGCGTATGCAGCTATATAAGAAGTTAACAGCACAATGTAGTATATATCAGAAAGCCAAATGGGCAGAAGAACTACCATTCTGTTTATAATAAAGTAAATCAGCAGGCAGCAGAATTCTACAGATTATATTCTCAGTATCACACACATATTTATACCACACTGACTTATCCATGGCTTTTCCTTCTAATGAATTTATGATCTTCTTGTGGGCAGAGACTATGTCTCATACAGAAATAGTATGAGAACCCCCTGTCATAACTAGCACTAATAGTTCTGGACATGCAGAAAGTACACAGTGGCTTGTCAATGATTTGCTCCATAGGGAAGCTAGGAATATTATGTGGTTGAACTGAAGAATAAAATCATTCTAAAGCAATACATCGGTGATAGAACATTGAGAATAAGTATGCCATTTTCAGTGATTTGAGTGGGACTTCGGACTCATAGAGACCCACTCTATATGCAATTTCAGCAGAGAGAATGTGGTGAAGGGAGGGGAGAGATTAATAGACTAGAGTGTCCGTTCTCAAATGGCCTTTAAAATTACCTAATGGAAGCCATCCTTTTAGAGATGAAGAAGTCCTGGGAAGTCTCCTAACTGAAACTGGAAGACCAGCTGCATCCCATGAGGTGGCCAAGTCCTGGCTGTGCCCTTTGCACATGCAAGGCAGCTTTGCAGAAAGAACACACAAGCCATTTCTCACTGAAGGAAGTGCCTCACCTCTGCCTGGAGGCGGGGAGTGAAACATCATTCAGAGTTCCCATCCATGGTTAATGGGAATGCATTTAATGTTGTTTTAATGATGTGTAACATTGTTAATTGCAGATCTATTATAATTGCTTTCTTTTCTTTTTCTCATCCATGCTACATGAAACAAATACTAACGCATCCTCTAAACAATTACAAGAGTACAGTGTGGTGACAAGAAAACTTGAGTTCAAATAACTAAACCCTTCACTGAGCAGCTAAAATATTTTTCCTTTAAAAAAATATTTTTAATTTCTTCAATTTTCTGACATTACTTTTTTAGCTCAGGGAATGACAAAGCAGGGCTGGACATTATCACCAAGATATTTTTATAAACAAACACTGACTGTGCATCTATGATATAGAGGCATAGTTCCAGGAATTACAGAAGATCAAATGAATAAGATTCTGTTTCTGTACTCAAGAATCTAGTGAAATGATTAAAAATGAACATAAAATGTCTAGTAAAGGGAGAACATAAAGGACTATTTAAAAAGCTATGGAGTTTCAAAGAAAAGACAAATTCCCCGATTTTGCTTAATTGGGGGAAATCAAAAAAATAAAACCATGTGTGTTTATAAAGCAATATCCACAGAAATTAGGAAGTTCTTAATTTCAAAAGATAGATATCTTCCATATTATATAATTCTTTAAAATACACATTTATTTCTAACATTCAATTGCCTATTGACAAAAGAATATGCTTTTTTCATAGATGCTACGTTTTTAGTTTTCTCCGAAGACCAAGTTTTATTTGTCTTCAACAAAATATTACTACAACGGAGTTAATAATGAAAAACAATATAATTTTGCATGTGTGGCACACTTTATAGCTTCCAAAGCATTTGCACAAATACTCTTTCAATAGGTCTCATTAGATTGCCACAAAACCCTGAGGGGTACATAGGGTCAGCTTATTGTGATTCTGGGTTTGTAAATGTGCATGTTATTATTATTATTATTTTTATTGTGCACAGAGGATTCTGAGGCTCAGATGAGTTTTATGAGTGACAGTGACAACTAGCATTTGTCAGACTCATCAGACAAAATGAAAATTTCTGGCTAAGCTGTCCAATCTAAAATTACATACAAATTATTACACTTGAAAACTAAATGGTTCTGGGAAAGTTGGAAAGCCACATGCAAAAAAATAAAAAAATAAAAACCTAGACTATAGTTTGTCCCCACGTATAAAATTAACTCAAAATGCATCAAAGACCTAAATATAAGATCTCAAACAATAAATGACATAGAAGAAAACATAGGTACTAGCCTATGGACCTTGGTCTTAGATAAGTTTTTATGAATTTGACCCTAAAGGCAAAGGGAGTAAGGCAAAAATAAATGAGTGGAACTATATCAAATTAAAAAGCTCCTACACAGCAAAAGAAACTGCCAACAAAACAAAAAGGCAACCAACCTAATGGGAGAAGAATTTGCAAACAACAGCTCTGACAAAGGATTAATATCCAAAATATATAAAGAATTTCTACAACTCAACACCAGACAAACAATCCTATTAAAAAATGGCAAAAGACCTGAACTGAGGCTTTCCCCAAGAAGACATACAAATGCCCAACAGATATATGAAAAGATGCTCAACCTCACTAGCTATTAGGGAAATGCAGATCAAAACTACAATGAGATACTGCTTCAAACCTGTTAGAATGGCTATTATCAATAAGACAAGTAATAACAAGTGCTAGAGAGGTTGTGAAAAAAAAGGGAGCCCTCATTCACCGCTGGTGGGAATATAAACTGGAATAGCCACCATGGAAAACAGCATGGAGGTTCCTCAAACAATAAGAATAGAGTTACCATGTGACCCAGCAATCCCTCTTCTGGGTACTTACCCCAAAATTTTGAAAACATTTATTCGCAAAGATATATGCACCTCTATTTCCATTGCAGCATTATTCACAGTGGTCAAGACATGGAAACAATCAAAGTGTTTTTGAATAGAGGACTGGATAAAGAAAATATAGTACATATATACAAGGGAATACTACTCAGCCATAAGAAAAGTAAAATACAACCATTTGCAACAACATAGATGGACCTTGAGAATGTTATGCTAAACAAAGTAAGTCAGTCAGGAAAAGCCAAGAACCACATGATTTCACTCATATGTGGGATATAAAACTGAAAATCACAGACATAGACAACAGTATGGTGGTTACCAGAGGGAAGAGGAAAAGGGGATAGGAAAGGGAAAAGAGGACCAAATATATGATGATGGAAGATGATTTGACTTTTGGTGGTGGGAACACAATGCAATATACAGATCATGTATCATAAAAATGTACACTTACAACCATATAAACATATTAATCAGGGTCACCCCAATAAATATAATTTTTTAAAAAAAGAAACACCACGTTGCCGCTGGTATATGTTCTCTTAAAAAACAAACATGCCCTGGGCAGCACTAGGCATCTGGGGGCCCAGCTTCCCCTTTTCTTCATGCATGGCCCCTTGTTCCCTCCTCAGACACTGGCCACCCTCTCTTCTCTCATCTTTCCTTCCCAATCAAGCATGGAAAGGCAGCCATTTGTTCTTCCACTCTAAAGAGCCAAAGGCACTGAATTATGTCCTTCAAGAGTATTTTGGCTTTAAAACTTTGTTATCACTCTGCAGGGGAAGTCTTTCAGCTGATAAGCACATTTAGGGCAGCAGCCACCAGGTGGAAGGAGTTTGGTACTGAGCCAGGATGTTGCCATGTTTCCCTGCAGTGAGGAACAAAGGGCCTCAAGCTTATCTTCAGGGTCAATGAAGAAAAGAGAAGCTGGCACCAATGCCTCCTGCCTTGTGTCCCTGCAAAGAACTTCAGGGATGAGCAATGACAGATTTAACAAGCAGAGAAAACTCACTGAGTCTTGAGAGGCCAAGGTACAAAGGGAAAAAAAAACATCTGGGAAGCAGCCAGCGGCTGAGAATGATTTCCCCAGCCCTCCCTCCCAATGTCACACACCCACATTGCTCCTGGCCTGAGCTCAGACTACAAAGGTGCAAGCCCTGTGGTTCTTAAAATCTCCCCAACTACATAAAGGGGAACCCTCAAGTCCTGCAACCATGACCCATGCTACTCTTTTTTCCATTTGGAAACACTGAGTGGGAAAAGCAGTTCTTACCTCGTAATGGGCCACGCGCTGAGATTCAGATATCAGTTGTGCACTGCACACCTTGCAGTAACTGTCTGTGAATAAATCCTGGTCGATATCGGAGGACTTCATCAGGCTAAAGGAGAACCAACAGAAGATAAAAATGAGTTCACTGCTTTGATGTTTACATAAGACATTGACTGTGTGGAAAGGCCAAGAGCATAGTAACAGACCCCATGATGGCAACAGTGGAGAAGCACACTAAACCTTTGATGTTGCCATTTTGAATAACCATAGTAAGTGGACAGTTTATAATTTTCTCATAAATTCCAAATAGGGTTGCTGGTACTTTCAAAAAGGAATTCCAACTTTAGTTTTCTCTGTTTGAGAAATCAGACTTATATCTAATACACTAATTGTCAAGGAATTATAGAAGAGGATATTTTCACATATGGCTTTATGTTAACAAAAGATGGCATTTCATATACCCAAGAGTAGGAAATAGGTTAAATGAATTTTGATGTATCCACACACTAGAATATTGGGTGATCCCCAAATCTACATTCAAATCAAATCTTTTTTAAAAGAATATTTCATGAAATAAAAAGTTTACCATTGTCAACAATAGAGGTTTATAAATCAATATCAATTTGAATTTGTTTTCAAATATGTATAGGTACATAGAAACATGCCAGAAAGTTTTAACAAAATTTTAACAGCACTTATTTTTGAGATATTATAGACAATTGCCTATGTAATTTTCTTTAATTTTAAATTGTCTACAATGATCATGTAATACAATTTTGCTTTGTCAAGAGCCTTATGATCAATATGAAACCTAATTTTGAGTTTAACTGCTATACTTTGAAAGTTCAAAAAAAAATCTGACCGATCTATAACCTATACTTTATAAAATATGGAGTCCTCACCATTCCTGCTGACTTTTCTACCCATAGGTTGTTGAAATTCATAAAGTCCACCTTCACTATTTCATACCACAGTTGAGACCACAAAGGTATGTATAAACATAATCTCAAATTCCAAACCCCAAATCAAAATGCACCCAAGGGTCTAAAGCTTGTGAAAGTGACTTGGCAGGAAGGTGTCTTATAGCAGCTAAAGGGTAATGTTACCGCCCTAGAAGCATACACCAAGGCATCGGAAGATTTTCCTCCAGCCCACAAATTTGCTTTTTTTTACCTCCTACCTGTCAGGTGAAAAGTAAGGAGTGTGCCAGACAACATGTGGTATGGAGAGGCAAGAGAATTTCAGACAATAGGTGGGTATCTTTGAATTCATCTTATTCCAATGCCCTCTTTTTACATATGAGACTGTCCAAAAGCACATTGTTGATGCTTGGTATGGTCATAAATACCACCTACCTTACATGATTTTAATTTAGATACTCCAGATCCATCCCAGATCTAATGCTACCCACCACTCATGAGATGTTGGATGAGTCATTAATCCCTGTAGGTCTCAGTTTCCCTCCTATGAAAATGAGAACATAATATTTACCATGCCTCCTTAAAGAACTGTGGTGAATATCAAAAGGAGAAATATAGGAGAAGGTACTATGTCAATGGCCAAATTCTATTTTAAAGAGATTGTTTATATACTTTTAATAATATATCTATTGATGTTGGTAAGATGTTGGCCAAGTCTTTTTGTAATGATATGAATAAGTTCATTTTCATGATCCTTGACATATGCTGAACTGTGGAGCTGGGCTCCATTGGTAAGGCTATGTGATGCCTTGTGTCTATCTACCTCCTGAAGTCCTGTTGACCGTCTCCAGAGACTCAACTTCTGGAGAATCTGAAGGTACATTTAGAATAGTATGTTCCCAAGAGGAGTGAGAGAAAGTTGGATCCCAGTTCGATAACATCAAATACAATGCTTTGTCTCTTGGTCCATCCTATTCTGCCTTCAGAGAAATAAGACAGTGGCTAATGAGATTGGTGCATTCTGTACCTTGAACTGCTTCATGTCAGAGACCTTGTCCCTGGTTTTGTTTCTGTTCTAGAGGCTCATTAGGTTCTTTTTTCTTTGAACATGGAATCTAGGTCTTCAATTTTGAAACCAAATTTGGACTCTTGACTCTGAAACCCCAACTTCCTTAGCAAGTTGCTCTGTGGACTCAATCCCGGGATATGAGTTGATCCCAATGCCATGATGAGGGTGTGCAATTGGGAGGAAGTGTAGCTGGTAGGACACTATCTGTCTTCTCTACTTTGAATCTTCTCCACAGGGTGATCTTGGTCTTGACTTGCTTCTAAGTCCTCCTTGGGTTCTGGTCGTTTCTGGATGTGGTGCCTAGCTCTTCAATTCTGAACCCAAATCAGGATTCTAGACTCTTCAATGTCTATTTCTAAGCAAGCTTTTGCTTGGAAGTGTAACCTGGGTGAGGTGTTTGTTGAATGCTTTGATGAGGATTTTCAACAGATCTTCTGTGAACTAGGTACAGCTTCGTCTATAACTCATTGCTATGGTCTTGTTTGGAGAGTTGTCTTGAGCTATGTTGGAAGAGTGTCCTGAAGTCTCAGCCTTCAACCAAGAGTAACCAAGTCTTGACTAAAGCAACAAGATGAAAAATTGTGGTCCATTTTGAAGGATTTTTGAAACCATCTAAATAGCTGGGCCACATGAGTAAAGTATCTTCCTGGAATAAAAGGATGCCTGCCTTAACAACTCCAAACTCACTTTCTACTGTGGCCTTGGCTGTCATGGCCCATTGGGGCATTTGTATTAAGTGATTTAGCACAACAGTACTTCTGGTTTTTCAATGCCCCACAACCATAAGAATGGCAGGTAGTAAAAACCACTGACACACACAGCTGAAGTGGACATGTTTTTCTGAAAGCATTAGTATTGGCAGACAGCCCAGGAAGCCTAGAGTCCTACACCTAAAGTGCCTCTAGACTCATTATCTCACATGACAACCTGTTCCGGAGAATCTGGCAACTGTAGTTGTCAGGTACTTTTTAGGTTGCATCAAAATCCCACTGTAGATTTCACTCACTGATTCTGTCTTTGAATGCAACACAGAACAATTTTACTCTCCTTTTTCACAAGATATCCTCCATCAAATGTTTGAAGATAGCTCTCTTCTATCTATTCCCACTCCCTGTCCTGTCCTGGTAATCTTGGTCTATATCTATCTCTTTATAGGCCACATTCAAAGGCAGTCCTAAGAACATAATGAAACACTACAGATATGATCTAAATGGTGCAGAGAATCACAAATTCGTATGACTATCCAAAATATCCATTGTCATTTGTAATGGTTTCTATTCACATCCTGGAATGTAAATGGAGAAGAGGTGCTTTGGTGATGGGAAAATGTAGTACAACATTTTGAAATGCCAAATGGGAGAAGACTTATTAGGTGTAGTTTTGAAGCCAGGCTCCTACAAGTAGCTGTGTTTAAATATTGTGTTCTCTGCTATTTTTAATAAAGAAGTGCACAAAAATAGATTCATGGGTGACCTGGTTAATAGGAATCTACAAACTCACTGCACACTCCTTCCTCATTATACAACCGACTGCAAAAATCAAACACTGTGAAAGAATATTCAAGGTTCATGTTGGACCAAGTGGGACTCGTAGGAGTCTGAGTCTTGGTAAAGCAGCTGTGCAGCAGAAATAGCATTAAAGACAGAATATAAAACTTGTGTGCTAAAATAAATATATTCAAAGGAAGAAGAGATGATCATGACTTTTTTTCACTGTTTTATATATATGTTTGCATTTAAGAATCTTGATTTGAATAAGCCCATATATAGTAAAATGACAATAAAGACCCCTCCAAAATTCACGAGGCCCAAATGGAATACACAAATAGGTTAAATTCCAGTGGGAGGCAATTAGTGGACAAATGTCAGCCAGGTTTGTGCATGAGGGCTTTTCTCCAGGAGAAGAGAACTCTCTCTGTGTAAGGTCACTTTAAACAGAAGGACTGATTTATGATTTAAAGAGTGAAATTCCCAAGGGGGGCGGGGGGGGCAAGGGACTGCCCCCTGACTCCCTCTTCTGGCTTCTTTTGAATAGGATTATCAGCTTCTTTATCCTTAAGAAGCACAGGTGAGCTGCTAAGAAAAAGGAAAACAAACCTGATTTCCTGACTTTAGCCTTGTCCATGGTTCTGGATTAGCAGTTAGACCAGAAACAGGGCAGGGCCATTTATTGGTCAGCCCTACTGTCACATCAGAGCCAATGTGTGGTGACCTCCACACTAGAAACACACTCACTGTGCTACACTCTGAGTCCTTGTGAGATTGTAAGGAGAGAGACAAGAGTGGGGAAGTAGGAGTGTGATTTTCCGAATCTGAAACAGACTGAATAAAAGCTTCCTCAGTGTTCCCAGGCCTGGTGCATTCCAAAGCAAACACTGAATATTTGAATAACCTCTCTATCACTCTTCAGTATTCATAGAGGATAGTGTTACCTGTATTTTAGTGGGGGAAAGGCCCAGAGTGGAGTCAAAGGCAGTATTAGAACAAGAGTCTGATCAGATTTTATTTTGCTGTCCCAGGTCTCTCTATAGAGATTTATTTACAGGTATAGCAGTGACAGTGTAATATCCTGAGTTACATAAAGGAGAAGAGAATTGGTTTCTTAATAATGATTTTGAGCATTTACAATGTGTGAAGCACAGGGATAAGAGAAAGCACACGTCTTGCCTTCCAAATCATCATGAGCTATTGAGTGAGAAGATACACACACACACACACACACACACACACACACACACACAATTACTGAGCCTTCAGTAATAGGTAGCAAGTGTAATTTGGCCAGTAAAACATGCTACAGGATTTGGGAAGACAAGAGGGACTATAAGAAACTCTTCAAAGAGGATCTACAAGAGTTGAACATTTAAAGATGGATAGAATTCGAGTGGTAGAAAATGGGTTCCAACTCAAAAGCTAATTCTTTTTCATGGCACAGAGGAAAATCTTACCACCAGCAGGCATGGGAAGATAAATATGAGGGGCGTCAGTGGGGCTAATTTAAGATTATGCAACATAAAAGTGAGGTGATGGCAAAATGTAAGGGAGAAAAGATGCACAAAGCTCGGGACCCAGATGGAAGGAGGAGAGACTGGGGGAGAAGTGCCAGGTCTCAAAACTGTTC